ATATCAACATTTTTATTATATATATATATACTTTTTCTTCGTGTGTATTTTGTTAAGCTGCTATAAATTTAACCCAATATTTCCTGTAAACTGCCACTATAAAAGCTTTCCAAAAAGGCGAGGGGATTTTGCAAGAACTGCTGAAGGGGCATTTATTTGAGTTTCAGCTGAGAAATTTTACCCTCTTGTTCGGAAGCGTCTGTTTGAACGGTGAGGTTTTCTTTTGCTTCCACATGCTCATTGCTGCTGACACACTCAACAGTAGTGCTGCTGTGACCTTTTATGGATAGGGTGACGGTGCTGTTGACTGTGTGGTTTGACATGGTGGTATGAACAGAGTACTCAGTGTAGTTCTTCAACAACGGCCATTTGATGGTGGGTAAAGGAAACCCCTCACTGATACACACACAGGTCAGGACCTGCGATTGAACCTTACATCCAGAGTTGTTAAAGACCTTCGAAATCCCTAAAAACACACAAGCAGAATCACAACATCACAACAAAATGCTGATAGTGTAAAAACCTAAACATCCTTTTCAAGAAGATTTGTAGTCTACTCACAAGTCACAGTTACATCAGCAAATACAGTCACAGTCCTGTTCAGATGTTGTGCTGTACAGATGTACTGTCCAGAATGTTCTGCTGTCACATTATGGATGACAAGTGTGGCTGATCCAGAGTTGTTCTGCCGGTCAGTATTAGGTTCACTGAGCCGGTTTGCGTTGGAACCGAGAATAGACCATGTGATATTAGACAGAGGAAAACTTTCAACACTGCAGGTCAGATTCAGAGCATGCCCCTCCTTAACAGTTGTATTCCCAGTGATTACAGGTTTCATATCTGTGAGGCACAAAATAAAGTATCTGAAGTTAGGATATAGCGGTAGGAAAAAGACAAAAGAGTCAGATTAAATAAATGAAAGTAATGACATTTAAAAGCCAAAGTCATTATATACATTACAATACCTCACAATATTGACAGACTTACAGATTTACATAATTTGTGGGAATGTATTGCAACTCTAGAAAACTTCTTGAGGTATAATACTAACTTTTGAGTCCTACTGAAATACAAAAAGGCTATCCCTAATATTGTATAAATGTAGGTATGAGTTTAATATATATAATATAAAGAAAGAAAAATGACAATATACAGCAGTGTGACATATTTAGTACATAATTAAGATGGTATGTACATAATACACATGAAATAATGTAAATTCATTGTGTGTAAATGTTTTTGTATTCATACATTGTCTGAAATTGTTTTGTTCTTTTTAAATTAATACTACCACTGGATGGCGCCAAAATTGTTCAAAATCTACACATATTGGCTGTAACAAACATTACAAGAAGTCAAAACATGTAATATATTGTAAATTGCATATTGAGATGGTCCCACACGGGTACAGGGACGTTAAGAATGAGTTTGGTAGGATTTTTAATGTTGTAAACTTGTTTAAGTAACCATATTAGAAGAAAGAAGAAAACACTACAAGACATTTTCTGTCTTAGAACAGTTGTACAATGTGTTTACACGTCATTGTTCAACAACATTTTCCATCAGACTGTTGTTCAGATGTGTTTACGTCTCTTAGCAAACATTAGATAAACAATAAAGGGTGAGAATACAGCACATTGTGTTTTACTCACAGGTCACATTCAGAGTCACTGTCTCCTCTATAGTGATGCTGTTTGTGAAGCTGACCTTACAGGTGACCTTGGTGCCGTGGTGTTTAGCTGAAGGGTTAAAGGTCAAAGTTGAGCTGTGTCTCTGTGTGACAGCAGTCAGATTCTCAGTCTTGAACTCAGTGATGTTTGCTGTGATGTGAGAGTCGTTCTCTCCTGTTCCTCTCCACGTCCAGGTGATTTTAGGACGAGATCCAGAGCAGAGACCAGGAGCAGTGCAGATCAGTGTGGTCTGCTGTCCCTCTGTCAGAGGAGGAATCATCACCGTGGGCTTCTGGGTCGGATCTGAAGGGAGAGCAGTCCATGAGTGGAATCAGGTGAGCAGCCTGAAGGTCAGCATTCACTTAAATTAGGCTTAAAACAATCAGTTACTGTAACATTTAAGTAATAATAATAATAATAAAAATGTAACTATTGCTACTACTACTACTACTAATAATAATAATAATAATAGATAGGATTTATATCAGGACCTGCTGCAGTTCCTACTGGCTGCCCACAGAGGTCAACAAATACAAAACAAATACAGAACTATTTAAATAAAACTTCATAAGCACAACAATGAATATTCACTGTGTATATCTGTTGTAGCTCTTCACCTTTAACAGAGACAGTTGCTTTTGGAGTGTATGTAAATCCATCATCTGTCTTCTTAGACGAGTTACCATTAACTCTGAGCCAATATGATCCAGAGTCTGACTCAGTGAGGTCATTGATGATGATGCTGCAGTTCTTCTGGCTCACATCAGGCTCCAACAGTGACACGCGTCCTGACTGATTTTTGTTGTTGTTCATTTTTGTGTGGAATATTATGTCTGATTCATCACATCTTTGTTCCGATTCACATTTGTACCAATTTATATTTTGGGGTGTAAAGTTAGGACCAGCAGTGAAAGAACACGGTATCACAGCACAGAGTCCAGCCTCTGCTGTTATTCCTCCTTCACTGAGAGTGATACAGAACTCATCTTTACATGTTTCCTTCAATGATGAACCTGTCAAAGCAAACAGCAAGAGAAACACAGACAGTGGAAATTTAGATTTTTACAATACACCACCTTTAAATAAATTATTAAGAAAGGCTACCACTGACAGACAGTACGGTGACTGTTTTATTTTATATATATAACAGCTGTTGACAGGAGAGCATATTTTTTTTATCTTATAATATCTTTGGTAAACAAAGAAGTCATTTACATAACTGCGCCCCAGGGTTTCCAAGAAAGTCAATATCTGTTGTGAGAAATGCTCTTATTGAGCTGGTTGATTTGGGGTAGAAAAATGAAAACCTTTAAAAACAATTTTATTCACATCTTAAATGTTGGCATTATAACAAGCTTAAAATTAAGATGCATACCTCTCACAGAGAAAAGAAGAGTCGCCCAGATGAGAACAAACATCCTGATTTGATGATTCAGTCAGTCAGTCTCTCCCTTCACAAGACCAAGTTTTCTTTTCAGAGGCACAAACATATTGAAATGTTTCAGTTGATGAAACTGGATCAGACACACCTCTATGGTTGACAGCCACATTTATTAATGTAAACACACAACATCCTGTATTTAAATCCACACTAACATCTCCAGGGTTGTGAGTCCCCTAAAATGTTTTATTTTGAAGCAGTTTTTGATATTTGTTCTGGAAAACTGCTAAATAAATAAGATATCTGTTGCAGCTCTGAAATAAATCTGCACTGATGCAAAATTACAGACTTTCTCAATTAAATATACTTTTGAAACCAGTAATTATTTTTTTCTTTATTAATTTAATATTTTGATGTTATGGAAAAATTACTAGTTTCAATTTACAATTTTCAAACTGTATTTTAATTATAAATGTTTTTTACCTTGTGTCTTGTTCTCTTGCTTCCTTATCTACTCAGTGACCTCGACTGAGTGTCTCTTCTCTAAACTGACTCTTCCTTTTTTACTTCTTTCCTCTTTGCACTACAAGTTTCCAGGAAGTTGCTCTACACCGCCCTACAAAGCATAACTACAGTAACTATACCAACAGTGAAACTCAAAGTTAAAAGGTTTTTTACTGGCCAGTCAAAAGTATTTTATGTAGAATGGCGGGTATGTGCCTATTGAATATGTATTATCTAAATCATTTTTATGGCTTAAAAATCATGACCAATTATTTGACCTATGACCACAAAAATGCAGCTACTGCACTCTGTCTTTGTATTACCATAAACAGGTATATAGGTAGTGCAAAGCAGGAGTGCAGTAACTACAGATGAGTGTCTACTTCCTGATAAAATCTAAATCTAATTTGATGTTTTAATACATTATTAAATATGTATTTCTTGTTTCATGTGTAACAAGTTGAAATAGTTGCCTAATTAAGAACATTTTGTAGTATTATTTTGTGAGGTTGAAATACCACAGTAATCCTTTGTCCTGTCCTTTTACATAGTTTTTTCTCTGAGATAGAGCAAGACTGAACTTCTGAAAATCTGTCACAAGATAAAACAGACATTTAAAAGTTAATTTTCAATCATAACTCAATGTTGACCCAAATTGTAGTTACTGTGGTTCTGCTTTGTAGGGCAGTACACAATAGTGGCCCTGCTTAGACTGCCACACATACAGCTAAAACCTCATATGTATATATATATATATATCAATCTGGCAACACTCAATAATGAAACCTACCTATCAACTAGAAACTATCTACCAACTATCCATCTTTGCAATGCATAATACCTTATGTGCAGAGTGGCACATCCATCAATGAATGGTTTGTATTACTGGTAATTATCTGCTGTGCCAGTGAAATAATAATGGTCATGGTCAAAGAGAGACATTAGTTTATGCATTAAATATGTGCAGATTCAACTATTTTAATCATAGTTCTTAATTTCAACTACATGCAACCTTTAGTATTTACCACCAAGTTTTTTATGGTTTGATGGTTTATTACGAAAATCTTAAAGTTGTGTTCTCAGAAATGCACTAAGATGATAATTTAAACATTTCCTCGCTCTAGTAACTTCCTCCTCACACTTTGAGGCTTACATGTTTCTCTTTACCTATTAATATATGCCTGCATACTTAATACTAACTACAGAACCTTCAAACATTGCAGACTGTACCAGATGTAAGAAAAGCTTAGTTGCAATGGACTCGATGGTTTCCTCTCAAGCATAAACGAGTGTCAGACACTCGATCACTGAGTACTGTGAGTGAGGTTTATTTCTCAAACATTAAAAACGGAAGTAATCTATGACCTGTTAAACAAGAACATTAACAGGCCTTTAGAGACAAATTGAGCCAAACATTTAGAAAAAGCACATCATATAAAAATACATGTTTTCAATTTTTTATATAGAATGTATGCATACATTTACACCAGTTTAATGTACATCAAAATGGGTTGCTGCAATTGTTCCTGCTATACATACAGACCCCGAAGAGAACAGAAAGCAATTCCACTGTAAGAGATGAGGGACAAAACTGACAGTCCTAATTCTGTGAAAATGTCTTCCCAAAGTTCAGCTGAAGCTCTTTTGTACCACAGACACTGTAACTTGCTCATTATTTGTCTAACTCAGTTCTCTTAAATTTACTATGATTGGTCTTTGAAATGCATTTTGGGCTGTAAATTTTGTCCCTATCTCTGTCATTAGTTAAGGACGGGATCTAACTATTACCTACTTTGTCCAATTTTGTCCTGTGTCTATGATTTTCTTTTCCCCCCATTTCTTATTTACTTGCAGGCTTTATATATATTGTAGGACCATTGTTGAAGGGAGCCTGAGAACAAAGGATTTCAAGTCTGTATCAATATGATTGTTGTTCATATGACTAATAAAAGAACTGGACCTTCTTTACTATATAGCCATGTGACTATTGTACTGAGATAAACTGACACACTAAATGGAAATGAAACAGGAGTACGAGCCTCAGAAACTGCAGCCGTACTTTGATCTAAATGCTAATATCTGCATACTAACAAGCTCACAATGACAATGACTATGTATAATGTTTATTCTGTTTACTGTTTTAGTTTAGCATGTTAGCATTTGCTAATTGGCATTAAAGACAAAATGTAAAAAGTTTAGGGATTGCTAAAGTTAATACAGTTTATTTGAGGTGGACAAAAATGTCTGCACCAGATTTCAAGCACATGCCAAACTCATGGTTGAGCAAAAGCAACTATAGTAATTGGGATACATTTATGGTCCCCATGAATGTCTGTACAAAATTGTATGAGAATCCATCCAATAGTTGTTAAGATAGTAGTCTTAACCAAAATGATCTGGCAAACTAACAAACAGATCTTTTCCATCATTCCATGCTGAAAAAGAGACACTATCACACAGGGTGAAAGTGAGGGTACATGTTTGACATGCTTATCCTAGTATAAAACAAAAGTAAAAATCCCTCAGAGCAAAGTCCACCCTTAGTGGAATGAATGGATTTGCAGGCTAGAGGAGTTGAGTCTCTCGATCACTTCACACTATCACAGACTGATTCTGGTGTTCGAACACAGCTGAGGCTGAACACAATGTGAAGATAACAGCACTGAAACCGTTCACAGGACCTTCAATCCACCACCAGTCCATTACATCAACTCATCACATCTGATGAGAGCAAAGAAACTTTATCCTCAAGAAACTCCACAAGGCAACATAGTCCTCAAATCTCACCCATTATATCCTTCACATTGGAGTAAACTTCTGCGTCCTCCCCTTCATCCTCTTCTGGGACATACTGTTTTGTCTCCTCATCCTCCCCAGTCATTGCCTCCTCTTTGCCATCCAACACTTCATTTTCTTCTTCCTCTCTGCCTCTTCCTTCCTCTTCTCTTTCTTCTTTGACTGCTTTCTTAATTTCAGCATACTCTGTGGTCTCTTGTGTGTTTGCTGCCTCCCTGGGACTCCTCCTTTTCAACACTGAGAAATCAATGCTGGCGTACTCGACATCTTTTGGTTCACCATCAAGATCAAGAGCTGCTTTCTCTTCTGGCACAGCTCCTTCTCCATCTTCAACTGCCTCTTGGTGGTAGGTCTGATCATCTTCCACTGCTTGACCAACATTGATCTGACAGGTACAATGTAAATTATATGACTCATTCAGCAGCTGCTACAAGCATCAACATTGTGTACAATATGCATGAAATCTCTATCTGACATATTTACATTACTGCCAACCATATTTGACAAGCCATACAATAATATTTGACATTTTTTAATGTTCTAGTGTCCATTCATTTCTGTACGGTCAGCTTGAAGCAAAACTTGTTTGAGATACTGTAATCCATCACAACGTACACATGGTTTTATTATGGCATGGTGTTGACTTATACAGCATCTCAGATTGGCACGTCTGCAAATGTCAACTGCAAGTTGATTCACATGAATAAAGCATAGCGTTAATTAAGGCAGAGCACAAAAATTAGGCGTATAATATGTCTGACTTTCACCTGGACTTTAAAAATCTAACACCTTAAACTATTAGACTGCTGATGCTGAAGCTCCTTCGGCCAACCAACGTCGCCCTTATGTGCTGTATATGTGGTACTGCTGAAACTAAATGCTACTACTAATGTCCATGTATACGTTTTGTGAAGAGGGGATTATTTCTCTTTCTTGCTGCTCAGATTATTTGAGAACTTCCTAAAAGAGCGCTGTCTTTCCGGACAAATCTAACCATATGACCATTTTCTATTCATGGTCAATTCCTTGAACAGAAAAGTATCTGACTGAAAAATAAACAATAAAAGCCACATTCACACATCTAAAATACAACATTTGAAACTAGGACACTTCTAAATGAAAATAGTATTTTATGAATGAATATGAATACCAGTGGATCCTCTTGACTCGTCACCATCTCCAGAGTTTCATCCAGCTTTCCAAAGCTCTTCTGTTTTGTCCTGAAAAAAAACCCACAAAACAAAAATATGCACACAGCAATAAATATATGTATGAAGATTATCCTCAAACAAAACCAAGAATTAAATATTGGAATTAATGGTGTACCTGTGGCATTTTTTTACAAAACAGCAAATGATGGCTGAAAGAAGTACCCCAATAAAAAAGGCAATGATGACTTCCAGCCGTGAAACCATTTTTAATACTCCTGTGGACTGATCTGCAATCAAGAGGAATTAAAAAAAATGTCATGTTGTTGTCAACGAAAATATACATGCAATAATTTAGTTTATTTTGACAGCTTGTCCAATGGTTGACCAAATACAAAGTTTAAAGTGAAAGAGATACTAAAAATGGCAAAGCAGTGGTCTAGAGTAGCAGAAGGGTTTTAGCTGAGAAATTTTACCCTCTTCTTTGGGAGCGTCTGTTTGAACGGTGAGGTTTTCTTTTGTTTCCCCAATTTCATTGCTGCTGACACACTCAACAACAGTGTTGATATGGTCTTTTACACTTAGGTTGACGGTGCTGTTGACTGTGTGGTTTGTCACAGTGGTAATGAAAGAGTACTCAGTGTGGTTCTTCAACAACGGCCATCTGATGGTGGGTAAAGGCAACCCCTCACTGATACACACACAGGTCAGGACCTCTGATTGAACCTTACATCCAGGGTGCTTTAAGATCTTTGGGAACACTGTACACACACAAGCAAAATCACAACATCACAATAAAATGGTGTAAAATTCAAATGTTTTTAAGGAGATTAGTACTGTCATTAGTATTATTACTACTCACAAGTTACAGTTATGTCAGCAGATATAGTCAAAATTGTGTCCAAATGTTGTGCTGTACAGATGTACTGTCCAGAATGACCTGCTGTCACTTTATGGATGACAAGTGTGGCTGATCCAGTGTTGTTCTGCAGGTCAGTATTAGGTTCACTGTGCAGGTTTGTGTTGGAACCAAGATTAGTCCATGTGATACGAGAGGAAGGAAAACTTTTAACACTGCAGGTCAGATTCAGAGTTTGTCCCCACTCAACAGTTGTATTCCCAGTGATTACAGGTTTCTTCATATCTGTGAAGTAAATTTCATACAAAATATTTAAAGTTAAGATGTAGCGATCAAAGATTTGTCAAATTAAATAAATAAAAGTTATGATTTTGAATTTTTGTATACATTATAAAACCTCACAATATTGAAAGATATAAATTGTGGGAATATCTGTAATGCAAATATAATTAGTCCAGTAGTGTAACTACAGAAGACTTCTTGAGGTTATAGACTGACTTTTGTCCTACTGAAATAGAAATGTATTCTATTTATTTATACCCTAATACTGCATAAATGACTCTAAATAGTACATACACATAGATATATATAAAAACATATACAGTTATGTTATACACAATATTTAGTATATTAATGAAATATATTTAATATACACATTAATGTACATAATGTACTTTAATATAAAGACACAATGTGTAAATTATTTGCATTCATACACTGCATTCATTCATGCACTGATGTTAAATAAATACAATAAATACAACCACTGGAGGGCACCAGAGAATAAAATGAAAGAAGAAAAAAATAAGTGTCTTAGAACAGTTGTACAGGTGTACTTACATATCACGGTTACATCAACTGTTTTCTTCAGGGTGTTGTTCAGATGTTTTGCTGTACAGATGTACTGTCCAGAATGTTCTGCTGATACGTTAGAGATGGAAAAAGTGCCCATTCCACTTTCTTCCTGCAGGTAGGTTTCAGTGTCATTCTGCTGGTCAGTTAAAGTGTCGTTCCACAGGTTACTCTCTGTTCCATTTTTCATGTTTGTGTCAGAAAATTTAGTCCATGTGATAAGTGATGGAGGGAAACTTTCAACACTGCAAGTTAGATTCAGAGCCTCACCCTCCTTCAATCTTGTGTTGCCAGTGATTTCGACTTCCTTCATGTCTATGAGACAAAATGATTATTTATCACATACAATGTTATAACGTGTCTAAATTCCCAACTTTCCTGTAAGAACACGACTGATGTTGTAAAATTCAACACAGTTCAGAAAACCATCAGAAATGACACGAGAGCCCATCTCTCTGCAAACATTTTAGATAAACAATAAAGGGTGAGAATACAGCACATTATGTTTTACTCACAGGTCACATTCAGAGTCACTGTCTCCTCTGTAGTGATGCTGTTTGCGAAGCTGACCTTACAGGTGACATTTGTGCCGTGGTGTTCAGCTGAAAGGTTAAAGGTCAAAGTTGAGCTGTGTCTCTGTGTGACAGCAGACAGATTCTCTGTCTTGAACTCAGTGATGTTTGCTGTGATGTGAGAGTCGTTCTCTCCTGTTCCTCTCCACATCCAGGTGATTTTAGGATGAGATCCAGAGCAGAGACCAGGAGCAGTGCAGGTCAGTGTGGTCTGCTGTCCCTCTGTCAGAGGAGGAATCATCACTGTGGGCTTCTGGGTCAGATCTGAAGGGACAGTTGAGAGTTGAGCAGCCTGAAGGTCATCATTCACTCAAATCTGAGCTAAAATAATCAAATATCTTAAACAGGCAATAAGTAGGAGTCATATCACGACCTGCTGCAGTTTGTATTGGCTGACTGCAGAGGTCGACAAATGGCAAACATTACTTAATGCCCTATTAAAACTATAAACACAAAATATATTGGTGCAGTTCATAGGAAACAACAGTGAACATCTTTACTGTATATATTTGTTGTAGCTCTTCATACCTTTAACAGAGACAGTTGCTCTTGGAGAGAATGTAAATCCATCTGTCGTCCTATATCTGATACCATTAACTCTGAGCTGATATGATCCAGAGTCTGACTCAGTGATGTCATTGACGATGATGCTGCAGTTGTTCAGACTCACTACAGGCTCCAACAGTGACACTCGTCCTTCAAACCCTGACTGAATATTTCTTCTGTTCTTGTTACTGCGAAATATTATGTCTGATTCAACACATCTTGGTTTCGATGATTCACATTTGAACCAAACTACACTGGAGACTGTAAAGCCATAACCAGGAGTGAAAGAACACGGTATCACAGCACAGAGTCCAGCCTCTGCTGTTATTTCTCTTTCACTAAGAGTAATGCAGAACCCATAGTCACATGTTTCCTTCACTGATCCACCTGTTAAAGCAAACAGCAAGAGAAACACAGGAAGAGAGGAAGTTAAGATCTTAACATTACACCATATTCAATAATTAAGAAAGGCTACAACTGACAGATAGTACATCGACTGCTTTTGATTTATATAACTAATGTTAACTGTTATGTTGTCAGGACTCAGCAACGCTGAGCAGACGACGAGAGAATTTCAACATTTCTTTATCCAAAATATCTTTGGTAAACAAAAAACTCAGTTAAGTACAAGGACATTTATCATGGAAAACTATTGCTATCTATATAATCATATCATCAATGCATTATAATAACATTATAATAAATGTGCATACCTGTGTAAGAATTACTGCCTCCCACAGAGAAAAGCAGAGTTGCCCAGATGAGAACAAACATCCTGACTTGATGGACGCTTCAGACGATCAGTATCTCTTTCTCTAAAGGACAATTTTTACAGTGAAAATGAAGTAAACATAGAGGAACTGAACCAAAGGAAACTCCACAGCTGAAATCACAGATCTCAAATACAGGATGTTGCACATTCAGTTATTCCGTAGTTGCAAGATTAACACAAGTTACCAAGGGGTGTGACCATTTTTTTATGGTAAAGCATTTTGTGACATCTGTTCTCAAAAGGAGAACAGATGTCACAAGAAAGTTAAATAAATAACTTTATTACAATAATCTTTACAACTGCAGCTTTACCACGCCTGAATCATTTACTTGATGCACGAACTGTGATGCAGACAAAACTTTAATCCTCCTATCCCCACACACAGTCCACCCTTATTTTACCAGCAAATCCAAGAATGTTTTATATTAGCTAGAGAAGAATTACTTTAGCAACTCCTATTTACAGTCCAAAAAGATATTTTAAACATAAATGGTTTCTTTTACCTCTTTCTGACTCGTTCTTCTGCTCTTCTTCTCTCAACAGTGTTTCTGATCTGAACTGACCCTTCCTCTCCTTACTTTTCTGTCTTCCCTCTTTATGCAACAACAAGGTTTGAGGAAGTTTCCTCAGACACCAATGAGCAATATTTCTCTTCTCCTCTCCTTTATACACTTATATTCTCATAATATCACAGTGTGTGTATCATATTGAATAACAAATTTGCCCCTTTAACATTGAATAATTAAGGGAAAATGTTTTTGTTTGGTATATTTTTAGATCCCCCCATCACTGTGAAGCAACGCAAAACCTTTTGAAAAAGGGAAGTATTGTAAATGTGTGGTTTTTGTTATCTTGAGAAACCTTAAGGAAATCTTGATAAAATAACTTATTCTATCGTTTCAACAGAATACGACACACATACTGTACATTGCTGTAAATGGTCTGTATTATTAGCTAGTATCTGCACTGACAGTTGAGTGATGGTGGTCAAATGAACACTTTTTAAGCCATTTCAAATGCATGCAGCTTTTTTGAATTGGAAGCACTTCTACATTTGTTTTTCATAGTTTACATTGTGCAGTATCTGGAGATACTGTTCTTGTCAGTTGCTGTAGTGCTTATTCTTTTAAACATTGCCTTATTCAGCACTACTGTGCTCTCAATGTTTGATATCTTCCTGTTTACACGTGAATGCGCTGGATTATAGTTATTTTTAGCAAAGAACTGGCAACAGTTTCATTTTTAACCATTTTTTAGCATATTGAGCAAAACCAGAGGTAAGAAAGGTCAGCTGTAAATTAATACGTCTGTGTAGTTATTAAAATTGTAACAATCAATTGTGAAATCCTAATTAAAAAGATCTTGAAAAATCACATCAGGAGACTATTTTTCAAGACATGACACATCGACTCATCCTGATTTAACAGATTACGTTAAATTACTCTGTTACAAGTACAATCCATTTATTCTA